GTTCCTCTTGGCATTGTCTTGCAGGTGATAGATTATTTTTTTCCTGAATCCTAGTTGTTTTTAAGAGATCCTTTCTTACCTTTTCACTAGCTGCACCAGCGTCTTCAAGATCTGAAACTCTGTCTTCACTTTCACTTAAACGGTTTTGCAAGTTTGTGATTGAGATTTTAATTTCCTCTATATCTCTTTGACTGTGCTTCATGCGATCTATTTCTTGCTTGTATTGCTCATTCAAGGAGTCCGTCATTTTTGTAATCTCCTCTATTTCTTTATCAATGTCTTCTTTAGAAGCAGTTATTAATTCTTTGACTTTAGTGTTTTTTTCAGATTGGATTTCCTCCCTATGGTTCTGTAGTTGATTCTTTACTTCAGATACTATGACCAGAGAATTCTTTTTTTATTTCAGAAAAGAATTCTGCTCTGAGTTCCTCTATAACTTTCTGCTGTTGCTTATTTACTGTCGACACTATTAATTCATACATTTGAGCTAAGCTAGTGTCCTCTGCACTTGTTCTGGGTGGGCATTGGGTTTCCTCCATATGTTTCTGCCTTTGATTCTTTCCTGCAGATGCTGTTAATTCAGGGATTTCTTTTTTCATTTCCAATCTGAGTTCCTCTATACCTCTCTGCAGTTGTTTATTTCACAAGCCATTGATTCATTGATTTCAGCTGTGTGATTCCCAATTTGTTCTCTCTTAGTGTCTTCTGCTCTTGTTATGGTTGGGTTTGGGGTCTGAGATTGCATTTTGCCCCTTCTCATTGTCATTTTGTGTAGCACTGTCTTCTGACCTTTGTTGTAGAGCTTTGGTGCAGTTATAACCTTAGCACCTACTGAAATTCAGGTGCAGATCTACAAAGTTTGGATTTATCCAGCTGTTCCTGACTTGGGTCTGGCTGCTATGCTGAGCTCCTTCCTGCTGCTGCCCTTGGGAGTGAACCTGTTTTTCCCCTCTGGCAAGATGTTCTGCTCCTGGTTATACTGGGTGGTTCTGTCCCCTACTGTCTCTGCAGTGTTTGCAGCTGCAGGGTTTCACCTCAGGCCTGTGTGCCAGCCGTGAGCTGAGTCTGGAGGGGACAAGGTGGAGTAGTAGCGGGGAGAGGAAGCTCTCCCACACAGTCACCGGGCCTGGGCTAGAACTGGATCTAGGGGTTCTCACTAGGTGGGCAGGGTGGGGTTGGGAGTGAGGGTCTAATTTCATTTTAGGTAAAATTCATTAAGTTTTGTTTTAACTGTGATAAAGTCATATTTTGAATTAATTTTGAATAAAATGTAAATATATGTGTATTTATCATACTTAAAATAGTTGTTCTGTTCTTAGTGAATCTTCTGTGTATTTTCCATGAATTATATTATCTAATTGGTTAATACAATAATTTTATCACCAAAGGAAGCCAAAGGTAGAGGTAATTTATGTTAGGATAGGAAAAAAGCAAGACAAAAACTCTTGATCTGGTAACCTGACTGGCTGGCTTTAAATTGGCCATTAATCATCCTCCAACATTTTATGTGACAGTGTATTTACTATTTAAAAGCTTTTTTGTTTCAAATTGTTCCTTATTTTTTTTCGTGGAATTGCTAAAAACAAAATTCTACAGTTGGAAACCCTGACCTTTTTCTCCCCCCACAGCAAGTATTCATAGTTTCTTCAGAGCCTGGCCCTTGTGAGTCCCAGGCATTGCTTCCTTTTAGCTGGAAGAATCTTGAGATATTTATCTCAGAAAACTAAGAGCAGCTTTGGAAATAATTTTCCATTACTGGTTTTGAAATTGTAAGCAAGTGTGATTCAGAGATATCTTTCTTATTTTAATAAGTGTACCTCATTTGTTTTTGTATTAGGTTGTCATATAATAATTTATTTGAAGAAAATGTTCTTTTGGTAAAATTAAATCTAAAAATCAGTGTTCTACAATCTATTGCTTAAGTTTTCAAATTCTAGAACAAAGTGAAGTAGAGCAATATAGTGAAAATTCTTGTGTGTGTGTGTGTGTGTGTGTGTGTGTGTATTTTAGGGAAGAGTCTATAGGGTGTTCACGTCTCACTACTAGATTGGACTAGTAGTGATTTGCCTGTTTACAGCCTCCCAAGAGCTGGGATTACAGGCCAGTGCCATCATACCAAGTCTCAATTGCCATATCAGCATGCCTGGGGGCATACTTAAAATAGTTGTTCAGTTCTTGGTGAATCCTCTGTGGATAGTCCATGAATTATATTATTTGATTTGTTAATACAATAGTTTTATCACCAAAGAAAACCAAAGGTAGTTCTGGGGATTGAACCCCGGCCTCTGCAGCTGCTTGCAGGTGCTTTAATCCACTGAGCTGTTTGGCCGAATACAGTGAATTTTTTTGTAACCTAAATATATTCTCTAGTTAAATTATAGAATAGGTGTATTTTGATTTTCTGTGAGTATATAGTCATTTCAAAAAAGTTCTGCCTCTGTTGTAGACCTGAATATTACCCTAATATCCTGTACTGTGTAAGACATGAACAACCCTTTTTCAGTTTCCCAGTTTTGCTTTGATCTTTGGGATCCCCAGGAATATGTGACAGCTGTCTCTGAACCTGGAGGTCCTGAAAGCACTCTGGATTGACTGTGTGCGTCCTCTTGTGCTGTCCCCTGTAGTATGGCCTGCTATATAGCTCTGTATTTGTCTTCCACATTCTTAGGGGCAGGTGACACACATTCCAGTCAACGAAAACAATGGAGGAAGGCAGTTCCTTTAATCTGACCCTCTCCCAGACTCTGGGATCTCAAGCATCATTGCTGTAGCTTTTCCCTGGAGATCTGAGCTGTGGAGGAGCATGGACCAATAAGCATAATCAAGTTCTGCTTCTGTTCTCACTGGGGTCTGCAATTATATTTTCATCATTTGAATTATAAAGCCTGTCTAGTTTTCAAGAAAATTGTATAATTTGTGGAGTTCCCATAGTACAAAATTAGTAGACAAACGAATGTGTTGCATTTGTTCTTAGTCTTGAAATAAGGAAGTGCAGTTGTATTCCCTTTTGCTGTAATGTTATTTTCACTTTTTCTTTCATAGTAGATGAGATGATCAGTATTCTCATTCATTTGAAACTTATTTACTAGAGCCTTCTTAGTATTTGAGTGGTATTTTTTATATGTTTATATCACATATATAAAATACTTGAAGATGAAGTGCTTTTTGATACTGTTGTAGAATGATTTTAAAAATCAAAGTATTAAATGGTAGTGATGGTAACTAAACTTAATAAAATACATTGTAATATATATATATATATATATATATATATATATATATATATATTTAAGTTCACCCTAACCACAAATAGGTTAGTAACATCAGGAATGAGAATCAGGGTGAAATATATCTGTGTCAGCTCACTGTTGTGTTAATGAGGTGTAATATTGGCTTAAAATGTGTTTTGGACTATAGGTAATAAAACCTCAGTGTCATGAAAATTAATTATTTTTATGTATAAGTATGCCTTTGGATTTTACATTTACATAGGAAGTAAAATGTTGTGCAGAATGTTTTGATTGGGTTATTGTTGCCTAATAACATCTCATGATGAAAATCAAAGGTGTGAAAGTTTGTTCTAGGCAGCCAAAGATCAGATATTAGTTTAAAAATTTTATGTAGGGTGTTATAATTCAGTCTACTTTAATATGACCTCTATTTCATTTGGGTGCTCTGAGTTGCATTTGTGTCAGAAGTGTCGCTGAAGCAGAAGTTGTCCTTGAGCATATTAGTTACATGGGCTTTGCATCTCCTGAGTTGGGCATAGGTGTAGCACCACAGGAGACCTTTGCTCCTAGCTTAGGGTTAGAGTTAGCAGGGTTCATCTTCATTCTTGTTCATAGTCAGGCCTGAGGTTATGCCATTTCTGGAAGTGGGGTAGTCTCAAATGTTAGCCCCAGTACCATGAAAGAAAAAGTGAAAACAAAAGGTACTGATTTGCCATGTCTGAGTAAATGTTGTATGTGCTTCTGCTTTTGTAGTCTTGATAGCAACATGTGGTTGACATTCGTAATCTTATTTGGCAGATAAGGAAACTGAAGTACAGACTCATTAAATGAAACCAAAGGCAGAGTTTGAACTTGGGTAGTTATAGGAGGAAACCCAGCTCTAATTTGTCAGTTTTTCAAGTAAGAAATCCTACCTTTTGTTACTACTTCAGGCAGGAAAATAGTCTAAATCTTTAAGGGGCAGAAAGATCATACAGAATTTTGTAAACTCTTAGAATTAAAAACATTGTCCTATATTTATTATCTCTTTTAATGAAATATACTTCTTTTCCCCTTAATCCACAGGAATCTCGAAAACAGAAAAAAAAGTGAAATTGGAAGAAAAAAGCTCAACCACTTTTGGTATGAACAGAAAACAATCTTTAAGCAAAAGCCTAGAAAGCCTGACATAGAGGGAGGACAAAGTCTGTCTCTTCTTTGCCCTCCTATGCTGTTTTGTATGTGATCATCTGCTTCATTGCTTATCAGTGTTAGTCAGCTGCAGAGATGCTGTTTCTTCAGTACACATCTTATAGTTCTGTGTGTATTTTTTGTCACAATTGTGTCTGGCTTTCTTCTAAAAATTTCTGGATTTCTGAACATTTGTATTTAAAATTATGATTTCAAATAAGCATCCACATGATATTTATACTTAGAAGATGGATGATACATTAAAATCATTTTTTCTTTAGTATACCTTATAAAAAGGACACTGAGTTTTTCTACTTTTTCTGTTTTTGTGCTGTAATAATTAACAGTCATTAAATAATTGATGATAGCCTTAAATACTTTTTAGCTTAGCTAATCAGAACTTTTGTCTCAAAATTGATGAACTGTCATGGACAATTTGTGGGCTAAAACATACTGGTTGGAATAGTAGCTACTAGAATGTATGTGATTTAACTTGGAGAATGTTCTAGGATAGCTAGTTATTTTCTTTATATATGGTTGGAGAAAAGAATGCTTTAAAATTTTAGGGAAATAAGTTTAAGATACATTTTTCTTTCATATTCCTGCTCTTCTTATATACACAAATGTCAAAAGGCTGAAGTAGTTATTTATGGATTGCCTTAATTGGTTTTTTAAGAATATTTTTTTCCAAAGGAAAAAAAGTCCACTTTTTAAAATCTCATATATTTTCTTCATTTGTTATATATAGAAATGCTGAGTCTCCTCAGGGAGGTGTTTTATTTATTTTTTTTAATTATGGGTTTTAACTATATGCCACATTAGAAATTGAGTATATTACTCATTTAAAGGTTTTAACTACTGTCTGTGTTAACTTTAAGGTGTCAGGAGTTGGGATTTCTCAACACTGCTAATGAAGATCCCCTCTTATAGTCCAATAAGCTAAACAGGACTTCCAGACTCATGAGCAGTGTAATTGACTCCATCCACTCTGGGCAGGTGACTGTGATAGCTGATGAAAATATAAATGCTGCCTTTTAGGTTAACCACAAAGAAACAACTCAGGATCCCTCAGGATTACTGAAGTATTTGTTTTTGTCATTTAGGTAGGAGGAAAGAGAAGGAGAAGGAGAAAGAAAGGAAAGAGAAGAGAGATAAAGATCACTACAAACCAAAACAGAAGAAGAAGAAGAAAAAGAAAAAGAAATCCAAGCAACATGGTAAGTGTGCGAAGTTAATAGGTTGTTTGTGTTTATTCTCTTCCACCACTCCTTTGCTTTCATTTTGCTTTCAAGATTCCCATGTTGTAACTGAAACTGGTAGCTTTGTTTTTGCTTGTAATTTCAAAAACATAAAACTGTTTTCTGTGGTAGTTGTGGTGACTGATTAAGACTTTTATCTTACTATGGTGAACCAGATGCTCTGAGCAAGCCTTCTTCTACATAGTAGAGTAATGTATAATTATAGAGTGCCTTAACTTTCCAAAATTGAGGGAGAAATAAAGATATTTTTAGAAAAATTTGAGAAAAGAACAGAATTTGCCAACAACAGTCCACCTCTAAAGAAAATCCTGAAGGGGATGTACTTGGAGGAGGAAGGAAAATGGTGAAGAAGGGAAAGCTGGAGATGCCAGGATATGTGGGTCAGTCTAAACATTAACCACTTGAAGCAATTTTGATGGAAAAAGAAAATAAAATGCTAGAGAACAAGAATATATAATAATGGATTATATATTTGGCGATATATGCTAGCGTGTCCTTGTTGTTAAGCTCTTTGTGTTGCTTTAGGGAACTGAAGAAGTTTGTTGCTTAGAGGTTCTGTTAAGTTACATATGCATGTTGAAATAAGTACAGTAGAATAGAAACATCAGATATAATTTTCAAAGAAGAAAATTATACACACATAGATGGTGGAAAAGAGTAACTTGGAGTAAATCACAAGAAAGAAGGTTGATTTCTGAGCTACTTTGGGTCAGAGGACAGCTTTCCAGCTTTGTCACCAGAAGAGAGTACACTGTGAGTGCTCCGGTCCCAAGTGCACATGGCCTGTCACACTGCTCCTTGGGGTAAGGCAGAGTCTAGTTTATGGAAAGGGATTTTGGATTTCTGAGAGGTATTTTGTGTTTTGCTTTCTATTAAAATGTATTGAGTTTAAAAAAGAAGTCCAAAATGTAGAATTAACTATGTAATAAATGTGAACAAAATTTTATGCACTAAAAAATTTCCTAGGAAATAATATCAAAATGTCAAATTTAATTTTTTTTTTTTTTTGTGGAACCGGGGATTGAACTCAGGCCCTTGAGTTTGCCAGGGAAGCGCGTATTCTACTGAGCCATCTCCACAGCCCCTCAAATTTAATTTTAAGAGAAAAACTCCAGCTGTCTTAACAAACTAAAGTGCCTGCTTAGGCAGACGCAGGGACCGGGGTTTGATCCCTGGCGTGCCGTGCCGGCCCCGCCCCTGGCGTGCTGAGATGGCGACTGAGACTGGGCGTGGTGGCACGTGCCTGTCATCCCAGTCCTTGGGAGGCTGAAAGTAGGCGGATCACTATGGGTCTGATCTGTGTAGTGAGACCCTGTAGATCTTGTACTAAATACATTAAAAAAAAATTATAAGAGAAAAACTAAAAAGTGAACCTCTGGAAAGATCCAGAAGACAACATGCGCAAACGAACAGTACTGCAATAGCGAGAGCATGACTGCAGTGTAGCAGACGGTGAAAAGATGACCCTGGCAAGTTTGTACCAGGAGCTGAAAGGTTAGGTGCACATACGGGCAGTCATCAGAAATAACGTGAGCAGGAAGGTGAAAACCTGAATAGCAGCCTCTGAATCTTAAAGGACCTTAGTATTTTTAAATCTTCCAAGCAAGGAGCTCAGATTCAGAAAGCTTTTTGCTAAGCTCTAACAAACACTAAAGAAACACATTGCTCTCTATATAAATTTTTTCCAAATTTAGAAAAGGAGAAAACAAGTGGAACCCTGTGAAATTTTGAGGCTCATGGGGAGGAAGACCATAGGAAGATGAGGGCAGAGAGTAGAGTGGTGGAACCCTCAGCTGTGGAACCTGAGCCACGAGAAGCTTCAGAGGAGTTAGGAAGTGTTTACCACTGGACTCTTCCAAGGAGCATGGCCAGTACCTAATTCTGATCTCTTTTTGAAACCCCTTTTTTTTCTTTTGATATTGGGAATTGAACTTGGGGTTGTAACAGTGAGGTATATCCCAACCCCTTTTTATTATTTGAGACAGGGTCTTGCTAAGTTGCCCATGTGAGATTCAAATTTGAGATCCTTCTTCCTAAGCCTCCCACAGTTATGAGATTCTAAGTTGTGCAACACTACACATGGCAGTTTCTGCTGTTTAAAGCCACTACATTTGTGGTACTTTCTCATGGCACTCCTAGGAGCATAGTACAAGTCCACATTTATTTTAGATGACTTAAATTTGTATCAAAAACAGAATATAATGGGATAGGACAACCACAGGTTTCTAAGGACATAAATGCATAAACCATCAATGAAAATTATCAGTGTAGCATTAATGTAGCAATAGATGAAAGGGTTAGAACCTTCTAAATCTGAATGCACAGTGTCAGTCTAAACATAAATTAGCTAATGAAATTACCACAATAAGAATGAAAAAAGAATAAATATTACTATCTCTATAAATGAAGCAAATCCATTTTTTACATCCATATGTACTTAGATAATTGATTATAAAACATTTAGAAACATTAAAGAAGCCCTTCATAAAAGGAAGAGAATTCATTTCATAGGTTGGAAGATTTAGGATTGAAAACAGATCTACTCATTTTAAATAAATCTTCAAAGTGAATTTGGGAACAATATGACCAAATAAAAATCCAGAAGTAACACAGCCATTCTTGATGAATAAAGAAAACTACCTTTTCAGCTACAGTTACTAAGGCACTTTGTTTTTTTTGAGGAATACATATTGATCAGGGACAGAGTAGAGAAAAGTAGTTCAAAGTGTTTGCACAGAGCTTCTGTCATAGATCAGTGGGGTGAAGATGCTGTGGTGTTAGAGCACTTCACCTATGTGTATGTGGAAAATGAATTGAACCTCTATCTTGAATTATACATAAAAATTTTATCAAAGACTGAAGGAAAACTATAAATCTTTGAAAGACAGCTTTGGGCAAGGATCATTGGGCAGCGAATGGTTTTCAACAAAAAAGTGCTAATCTGAAGAGGAAAGTTGAAAGTAGTTAGACTGATAGTGAGAACATTGGTTCATGGAAAAACATTATAAAAGAACTTCCAAAACACAGAATCTTACTGCAACACTACACCTGACAAAAGGTTAGTGTTAGAATATTTTCAACTCCTACAGATCAAAAAGAAAACAAATAAGGGTCGCCAATATAGCTCAGCGGACTAAGCACTTGCTTAGTTAAGTGCAGGGGACAGGGTTTGATCCCTGGCACCGCATGCCATGCTGGCCCCGCCCCCAGGTGTGCTAAGCCGGTGATGGAGTCCAGGCATGGTGGTGCATGCTTATAATCCCAGCACTAGGGAAGCAGAAATCAGGAGGATCACTATAAGTCTGAGCTGCATAGTGAGACCTGCAGGAAAGAAAAATCCTTAGAAAAAACAGATAAAACATGGTATAAATGAAGCAGAAACTTGTATTATCATAAGGCTAATTATAGTGTGATGCTCAATCTTGTGAGAGGCTTGGTAAATGTAGTGTTTGAAACGTGCTGAAGTATGTTCCACATGTGCTATATTGGCAAAATGACAAATTATATGATACCAAGTGTTGCTGAGGAAATGGAGACAACCTCACAGCTCCTGCTCAAAGTAGCTTGCTTGTACCTAAAAAATACTGAAGAAACTCACATGGCATATGAGGAGCAAATCACTGGGTTGTCCTAGCAGTGTTGGAAGCTGCATCATTATCCCAGAGGAGTCACCTGTGTCTTCATTTAAAGGTCAGTGAATGAGTTACATCTACAGGAGTCTCAAGGACAGAGTGTTATGCTAAAGTCTATTCACTGAAAAGAACACTGTATGACCTATTTAGATAAAGATCAAAAAATATATATGAAACTCTATATTTTTTAGAGATTCAGTTGTGATGTGAGAAAAACAAAAAGCTGTAAGAGAATAATCAATAAAAATTCAGGATAGTGCAACTCTGAGGTGAGGAAGGGACGTTGTTATAAGTGACGTGAGGGGAATTAAAATGGTAATTTTCTTTTAAATTTCATGTTCAGTATGTGAGTATTCTTTGTTATTGATATTCTTTATATCATACCTATTTTTTTTTTTTTTACCGTATTCATCAAGTATTTCATAAAACCAGTTTAAAGAAATACAAACCAAGTGAGGCAGTGTCATAGTGGATAATTGCAGTTGGGAAATACTTCAGATTTCAACTCTCTTCATGGTCCAAAAATAATATTTAATTTTTCCACAGAATATGAAGTTCCTATGTCCTGTAACTCTAAAACTTCCAGAGTAAACTTCAAAATGCAAAATCAAAAAAACAAATAAAAAACAAAGGTTGACAGGGCTGGGGAGATAGCTCAGTGGCTGAAGCTCCTGACTGGCAAGTACAAGGTCCTAAGTTTGATCACTGGTCCAAAAATAAATAATAAAGATTGACAGTTTTGCACACTCCAGAAAGCTGTTTCCTGTCCCCTTCCTGTGTAATTGTTAGAATCCAATCTCCAAGTGACTTAAAGTTTAGAAACACAAGAGCCCCGTAGACAAAAACATAAACTCTTTACTCCTGAATACCTTGCTGTGAATGGTGTGTTACAGCTTCAAACTGCAAATAAAATTGCCAGATGAGCTCCCAGCCTGCCAGAGTCTTCTCTGAGGCAATGAATGTGGCAGGGCTGTAGGTGAAGACCCAGGCTTATCAGTGCTGTGGGGAGTTGCCTGCTGTTCATGCTCTCTTACATTGCCTCAGTTCGGGACTGAGGCTCATTGCAGGGCTTAGTGCCACATACAGACCCAGAATGTGGGAGAAACGGTAATAAGAAGGGGTTATCAAAACAAACAGTAAGAGAAGGACTACCTTTACTCTCAGAATGTGGTATACAGAGTGCTTAGGAGAACACAGCAGGTGATAAGGCAGCAGAAAAAGGAATGACTAGAAATTAAAGAGAAAAAAATTACAAAGAAAGCTTGAACTTTAGAATAGTGTACAAGGCTACAATAGTCTTGTACAGGAGCTGGGGAGATAGCTCAGTATGGCAAGCACAGGGTCCTGAGTTCAATCCCCGGTACCACCAAAAAAATAAAAATTAAATAAATAAATGTTTTAAAAGCCTTTAAAAAATAGTCTTGTACAAAAGTCATTTTTAAAATAAAAGTAATGTTTTACATATATCTATATCTTTAGCTATATATTTTTTTCTAATGAAGAAGAAATGAATCTTACATATTTGCTTATATTTTAAAATCAGGTCTGTAGATGAACATTGTAACTTTGTGCAGGGAGTGCTAGTAAATGCTGAAGATGCCCAGAAGCATTGGTGTTTATAAACAGCAGATGTGGAGTCTGGTAATTACCAGCATTTTTGTAGTTAATTATTACAGTTGAAAAAAATTTATTCTGGGCTATTTACATTCATCTAGGAGCAATAATTTTCCCCAAATGATTACATTAGAAGAAGAATCTTTAAGCAGTAAATAAGAGGTTTTAAATATTTTAAAATTTTGAGGATATCCTGATGGTAAAGAATTCACATTATTACTCTATGAGGTTCCTAGTGTCTTTCTAAATTGTAGACACTCAATGTTATTTTGAGTGTCTACACCACTCAATGTTATTTTGCATATCATGTATTTATTATGTATCAAACATTAAGCATTTTAAAGTATTAATTTAATCCTTATACTAACCCATTACAGCAGGCTTGACTGTTGCATTTTACAGTTAACTGCAGTACATAGAGTTGTTTTAGCTTGCAGAGCTAATAGAGTGGAAAGTAGAGTCAAACCCATAGTCCAACTTTAGAGTCTGCATTTTTAATCACCAACCTATATTGTTAACTACCTTCTGTACCTTCAGGATTGGTTAGCAGACTGCATTGTTTTCATCTCTTTGTCTTTATTGCTATGGAAAACTTTTATTTAAATTAAGTTAGAACTGTTGTAATTTAGTCAAGTAGTTCTTCACAGTTGTTCCATACACTATTGGACTGACATGTTCTAGTTATCAAAATCAGTTCACCCAATGTGAAAGTTGCATTGTATTCAACCTGCATTATGAAAAGTCACTGCGTTGGGATTTACTAGTAACTCATTTACCAGTTTTTAGTTTTGTTACTCTGAGCAGGTCACATGCCTAATAATATGGGCAAAGTGAGATGTCCAGAAGGACTAGAGCTAGAAATGTGGATAACGAAGGCCTTGCATAGCAAAAGCGAAGGTTCCCAAAGAAGACCGTATCAGCAAGCATGTAAGCGCATAGTGCAGGTAATCCAAAGCACATTGGCTGTCTACCAGGAAGGGGTCATTTGTGTGGTAAAAGTGGTACAAAATAGATTTATATAAAATTTATCAAAGTTTGAATGATCAAGAAATAAGATTAATATATGGGAGATTATTTCTGATCTAAGCCTTGAAGCATAGCAGTAAGCTTTCTTTGTAATCCCTAAATGAGATAGCAGTAAGGAACACAGGTATGGTGCAGAAATAGCACTTGGTGGTTAAAAATGAGGTTCTTAGAGTCAGGTTGTCTGGGTTTGAATGTTTTCTTTGCCAATAATAACTGAGCATCCTCGGACAGTTTACTTAACCTATTGTGCTTTCATTCTTTCCTTTTGTGAAATAGCCACAGCAATCCGACTTCTGTTATGGGTTGGTTGTGAGGAAATAAAGAGTTGGCACATGGAAAGTATTTAAAGTTACCTTTGGGACATGCAGCCTGCAGTTGGTGTTGGCTGTGCTCTGCTATTTATGACAACCACTGCGTAAGCTTCCCATAGCAGATGTCACAGATGATTGCATATCAGTGGTGTAAAATAAGGCTTAGGATCTTCAAGTTCTTGGGGGTCAGAAATTCAAAAGGGAACTCACTGGGCTAATAACATCAGGGAATCTGCGGGACTGCATTCTCTTTTGGAGTTCAAAGGGATGGTTCATGTTCTTGCCTTTTGTGACTGCCTTGCTCTTCCCCTTTTGTCTTCTTTCCCATTCAAAGCTGATGTTATCCAGTCAAGTCTCATTTTGCTTCGCTCTGATGCCAACTCTTCTACCTCCCTCTTTCACTTTTAAAGACCCGTGGGGATAGAGGGAACCACCCAAATTCAGGGCACTCTCCCTACTTTCTGACCAACTGGTTTGCTTAATCTCCTCTGTAATCTTAATTCTCCTCTGCCATGTAACATTAAGTAATTACCAGTTCCAGGGATGAGGGCATAGGCTGTGTTCTGCTTACTATAGCCAGCCCCTTCACGTAACACAGACCAGTGTTATTACTACTCTTCTCTTGTCAACTTGTGTGTCTGCCTTTTTCCATATCTTTCCACTTGTGTCCACCTCTGATTATATTCTCTAAACTGCCTTAGTGATATTTTTTGCATCACACTCAGCTGAGGTAGTAGGTACACAGTTGGAAACATGGTCCTCTCCTGTCCATGTCTTCTTACTTGCATACTTAATACATCCACTCTGTCCTCGGCATCTGTTAACATCTATTGCTGTTTTCCTTCCCCCCTCCATGGATCTTTAGATTCCTACATATAGCATATGTAGGTTCTCACCTCTTAAAAAGCCTTGCTCTGAACCTTTGCTACCTCTATTTTCCCTGTCTCCCTTTCACTGTCCTGTCTATTTCTGAATCTAATTGCTCAAGCTGAAGCCTGGAAATCTGTCTTCTTGATGCCATTCCTGCCCCCCCCCCCACTCTAAAGATTGCGGTATCTTCCTGTACTTCCTTGTTTTCGTCTCAGCATCCATCTCCCCCACCCAAGCCACCACCAGCATCTGTTGCCTAAACTAGTGCTCTGTGAGCTCTCACCTGTCCCCCCTTTTCCATGTGTGCCACTGGAGTGATCTGGGGATGGATTAGGCCATGACACGTCCTGTGTACCCTTACAACCTTAAATGGCTTCTTGTTACTTTAGAATAAAATGTGTTACCCAGTGTAGCTGCTCTCAGTCTGGCCTCATATCTGGTCCCCTTCTCTCACTGTGCTTTAAGCCAGGTGTGTGTGGGTCAGATATGCCACATACTCTTAGCTGTGGAGGCTTTGCGTGTTCTAAGGTCACTCTCCTCTGAGTTCCCTTTCTCTCAGACCTTCCCCTTCATAAACTGTACAGGGTTTTTCCTTTTGTGCATTGGTATAGTATTTCCCAAACTGAGAACAAAACTTGGACAATTCTTTTAGGACCAATTCATTTCTTTCAGAGGATTTTGTTGGAAAGATTTATTGATCAATTTCTTACTATAATATGGTGCAAATGCCAGATGCATCTCTTATACAAGAGTCTAATCTTTTTTTTTTTTTTTTTTTTTCCTTGTGGTACCGGGGATTGGACTCAGGACCCTGTGCTTACCAGGCAAGCACTTATTCTACTGAGCCATCTCTCCGGCCCCAGTAGGCTAATCTTAAATCTCTTATTGTAGATTTGATGATGCTTGTAATCTAAGAAAATGTAGAAATTGTCAGTTTGCAGTTTTTGATTATGTGGCAGACACCTATTGCTACCAGGTAGAACTTGGTAGTCCCTACTCAGTACACTGCGTGGGATATGCTGATTTCCTGAGTGTGCCAAACCTGTTTCCATCAGATAGATAATTACCTAAGTGTTCATGGCTGAGAGAGAGAAGCGGCATGAGGTTCATAATGACCTTCCTTGATTACCTATGATTCCTGTATGTATCTTGTGTTGCAGACTATTCAGACTATGAAGACAGTTCCTTGGAATTTTTGGAAAGGTGCTGCTCTCCATTGACGCGATCTTCTGGGAGTTCTCTGGCTGCACGGAGCATGTTTACAGAGAAAACTACAACTTATCAATACCCACGGGCTATTCTGTCTGTTGATCTTAGTGGAGAAAGTAGGTTTAAATGTGTAAAAACAGTCTAAAATGCGAAATGTGGAGCTGAGAATGAATGTGCTTTTTGAAATGCCTGTTTAAGCAGGACAAAGATACACAAAGATGGTACATAAACTTATGGGGAAAGGTCAATATTAGACATTTGAGCTGCATTTTATTGGCATTTAATGAAACTAGTATCAGTGTCTATACTAAACTTTCATAGGTGTTTTTTACATATATTTTCATACTTTACTACAAATGTATAAAGGAGTATTATACACATTTTATAGGTAAGTAAGGGTATAGTAACTTTATGACTTACTTAGCGTTAAAATTTAAAACAAAGTTTATCTTTAACCCTAACAACTGCTTTTTTAACCAAATACTTATCATTGTCTTAAAAATATACTTTTGAATTGCTTGTCACAGGTACATCTGTGATCAAAGCTGGGCAAGAGTGGTCAAGTCTGATTACATACACTCAGGCATTAGGCACCCTTAAATAGGCATTAGGCCATGTTAGTGAAAAGAGCAGTAGATTTGAAATCCATTATAGTCACCTTCAAGTCATCTGATGGTGGAAGGTATTAAAGGACTCTTCCCTCCTTTCTGTTACTCTGTGCAGTAGGAGAGTCTCCCTGCTCTAGACAGTGCTGACAGTGCCTTGAGAGTATTTCACCATGGCAGGGACCAGAATGAGGAATGAAAAATAAGCCTGGGATTTTCATCTGTGGTAAAGCCCAGAGATGTGGTTGGTATGCTCTTAGTGCCCTAGGTAGGCACTCCATCTTGTTTTCTTTAGCACTATTTGCTACCTGTTCTGTTCTAGGCTTGATTACTCCCTGACTCCCTGTGCAGAAGAGCATTTTCTTCCTTTTAATATGAAATAAGCGCAAAATTTTTGCGCAAAATTAATTAATTAATTTTGTATTTTAGGGAAAGGTCTATAGGGTGTTCAGGGTCTCAGTACTAGATTGAACTCATACTGATCCACCTGTTTACAGCCTCCTAAGAACTGGAATTACAGGCATGCGCCACCATGCCCAGTCTCTATTGCCATCTCAGTGCACTCCGGGGCTAGGCCGGTATGACAGGCCTGGGGATTGAACCCCCGACCCCTGCGCCTGCTTGCAGGTACTTTAATGCACTGCGCTATTTGACTGGCCCTAAAATTTAATTTTTAAAAGTCTGAGGTGGGCATGATGTTGCACATCTATAATCCCAGCACACAAGAGACTGAGACAGGAGAATTGCTATGAGTTTGAGGCCAACCAAGGCCACATAGTGATTTCAAAGCCAGCCTGAACTACAATGAGACCCTGCCTCAGAGAAGAAAAAAAGAAAGTTTAAGGTGGGAAAAAGGATCAAGAAAAAGTTTATTCTGCTCCTCTTTGCAGCCTTTTCGAACAAATACAGGTCTCCTTTTTTCTTATTTGGCCCAGTGAGTCTTCACTTCAGGTGTACATTAGTCGTTGCTGTGGTGTTTTTAAAACATACCAGTCCTGGGTCCTGCCACAGAGCACTACTAAGTAAGACTTAGGGAAGTCATGAAGAGCACTCATCTGCTGTAGGCTGTCACTGTCTGATGGGATGGTGTTGAAAAAGAAGAGTTTCTGTCTGGGCTGGTAGTTGTGCTGGAACAAGAATACCCGAGAGGGGTGGAGAGAGTCATACCTGTGCACGTGAGTTCTTCCTCTGCTGGGCTATTCTTCTCATCAAGCACCAGGCTGGGCGAAAGAAAGAAGGTTGTTAATAGAGGCAGAGCCCTCAGTGGGATATATCACAACTGCCTGGAGAGACTGTGGAATCAGTGTCTGAGCCTCTGTCTAAAATTTCTGATTTCCATTCAGTTCCTATGTGAGAATAGTGTTCCTGGTTTGGAAACAACATTTTGGGGATATTGTCTTGGGAAATAGCTGTGATAGTTTAACAGTTCAGAGAGAGCTATTCTTATGACATTCATTAGAGCCATTCACTTGATTCCTACTATGTAAACACAAGAGGAACTTTTATTTGCATTCCTTAAGCAAATAAACCTGGTGCTCCATTCACTCATTCTCCAGAATCCAGCCAAGCAAGTGTTTAGTGCTTGGGAGTTATTCTGTTGGATTTTCTAATTAATATGTTACTTTTGCATGCCAACATTATAAATTTGAAGGCTAACACCAAGTTAATATATGTGTGTTACACACTGATTCCTTTCAGTGCTGCAGTTTTAAGTTCATTATTGTGTCATGATAGCCATTTGGTACCATATGTATGTTGTAGCAGTATTTGAAACTCTTCATCCATGTTTAGTCCATCATTTTGAAACCTGAACTTTGTATTCAGGAACGCTCAATAGAAACTACTAGTTTTATATTTCAGCCAGTAGGCTTATAGATGTTATTAATATCAGAAAAATATTCAGTATCTAATAGGTTTATATCTCGCTTGAGTATTTTCAGGTATTTCTTCACCATTGTCTCATTTCTCCTCACTTTCTCTAGGATGTCCAGAGATTCCAAGGAAAGGGGACATTTACTTAATTTTCTACAAAATATTAACTTCAATAAATCAGAAATAAGACATTCAAAAATATTGACTCATGGAAAGTAAGCAAGATTAGAAACTGATGAAAGAGACAATAAGTTCTATGAAATACTTATTGTTTAATTTTCCGTATTGCTAGGGATTAAACCTGGGCCTTCTTTGTGTATGATAAGCACGTACTATACTACTGATCTCCATATAAAATATTTCAAACATAAATAGCATGAATTCTCTTAGCTGGAATCTAACTGACTTCCTTCTTAACTCTCCGCAGACATTGTGAATGACTGCTATATATATCATGCTTCATTCTTAGTAGCTAGGGATGTAACGTTCAGTTACGTCTTTCTGTACTCTTCTTGTTGCACTGATTCTGATGTTGTACAAAGGGGAGATACGTGATAACCAGGTGAAGGAATAAGCCAGACTGACTCGGGCCTAGAGAAGTCAGCTAAGATTCACCTTCGTCGCCAGAGTGCCTGGCTCAGTGTGCTCCATTTCAGAAGCATACAGCAGCAGCAGCAGTGTCATCCACCAAGTGGTCTCATGATGGCACAGTTTTCCCAAAACTTCCTAAGTACAGTATTGTAAAATTTTCTCCAGTGTCCAGTCATCATTTCTTCTCTGATGATGCGATAAATAAAGGCTCCCTTATGTATACCTTGGTTTGTTTTTCTCTCATTAGCCTTAATAAAATTATAAGGTATGCATCAACCCAGTTATAAAGCACAAACCAAAAACCTGTATTTAAATCAAATTGTATATCATGGTCATCCATGTGATCTAGTATCTGCAATAGGCTTAGTGTTTCAAAAGATTTTTATCAACATGTAATTAACTTGTTCCAATTCCCCTAAATGGAATGCAATTATTACATGTCACAAATGTATGCTAATAAAACATTAGATTATGAAAGAAGTTGTCAAAAATGCAGTCAGGTAGTCAGTTCTCAGTTGGTTTTAGCACTGCCTGCTGTATGACCACTGCCAATTTAAAGTGCTTCATGTCGTATCTGGTGAATATCAAGTACAGTGGTAGTTAAACTACTGATACTTCTGAGAAGATTGTTAATTATTGACTCTAGACAGCAAGTTCTTTCACCATTCTTCAGGTTTTTTTTATCTCTGTGGTTTAACAAAGACTATTTTTTTCTTACAACCAAAATGGCTAATTTTTGTGAAAACACTGAAAAGGGTAGTATTTGTGAAAATGTATTAGAAATGTACAAATATAAATTATTATTAGCCCATAGCCAATACGTAAACCTGAACACAGATACTTAGTGTTATTTACCACTGTATACATTAGGATAGAAGAAGTCATAATTATCTAAGCGTCAAAAATAATGTTTCTTTGTTCAAAGGCAAGTGGTTTATTCTTACTTATTTTATCCCTGTGTATAGCTTAGAGCCACTTCCCATAGCTCCTTTCTTCTGAAAAATGACACAAGAATGGAAAAAATGTGCTGAGTGTACTTTTTGTGTATGTTCTAGACTTATCAGATATGGAATTCTTAGATGATTCTTCAACAGAGAGTTTGCTTTTGAGTGGGGATGAATACAATCAAGACTTCGATTCAACTAATTTTGAGGAATCGCAGGATGAGGATGATGCTCTTAATGAAATTGTGCGATGTATTTGTGAAATGGATGAGGAGAACGGCTTCATGATTCAGGTAGTTAGTTTGTCTCTCTGCCCTTCTGTACCACGTTATTTCAGGTGCTCAGAAGGTAGATCAGCGTGTGTTCCCTTTTCCCTAGTTATATAGCTGAAGATGGAGCTTATAATTTCTGGTCAGTATTAGGAAATCTCTTCATCAAATGAAGTAGACCCTTGTTATCATAGTGCTTTTTCCTTTGCTTGGGTGTTTAGTTAGCGGCCTTAAAGCTCAAACTCAGGGGTTGTTAAAGTGGGTGAGTTGCACTGGAGGGGAAGATTCTTCTAATGGTCAGTGTCTGCGGTGCTTAAGAATCAGAAGTATACAGTCACTCTCCATTATTCAAAGAAGAAATTCTGTCAGCGTTCTCTTTACAGGAGGAGTATCTAAGAAAGTGAAACATAGTCCTTTTTTGTGATGCCATAGAAAATTAAGAGATGTTAGTTATAGCAATAAAATGTCCTTTCATTTTTCTCCCATCTTTTGAATAGTGTTTTCAAATAAACCACACATTTGTACTTCTACCACATGATTGGCATATTAAAAAGTGATCTCTCATGGCATTGCTACTATCTTTAAAATAGAAATTCTGGTGTGTAACTACTTCAGGGGCTGAGGCAGGAGACCAGTCTGAGCAACTTAGCAAGGCCCTGTCTCAAAAACATCTGCACTTTATAAAATATTTTAAAATATTTAATAAAATATTTTAAATTTTTCAGGATATCATAAAAATCAGTTGAGAATAGATAAGGAAGATTCTAATATTTTATGGTTAAGTAATTTATCAGAAGATTAATGGGTACAACAAAAGGAATATTTTAAATACATGACTATTTCAAACCTGTGCATCTTTTTTTAAGATGTATTTAGGACAGGGTCTATAGGGTCTATAGAGATTATAGGGTCTCACTACATAGATCAGACTCGTAGTGATTCTCCTGTTTTCAGCCTCCCAAGCACTGGGATTATAGGCGTGCACCACCATCCCCAATCTCAATCACCATCTCAGCATGTCCCACGGGTAGGACCAGCACAGTACACAAGGGATAGAATCCTAGCCACTGTGCTCTGCCTTTAGTCCTTTGAGCTATCTGGCTGGCCGTGAAACCTCTGCATCTTAAATGATGATCTGCTTTTTGTAATGTCAACTGAGATCTGGACTGAGCGTGGAAGAAAGCATGCCAGCTCATAGGAGGCAGGGCGTCATCCTCTGTGCAGGAAGCATGGCCATTGGTCATCTCCTCTGTTCTCTGGCAGTGTGAAGAGTGCCTGTGCTGGCAGCACAGCGTGTGCATGGGGCTGCTGGAGGAGAGCATCCCGGAGCAGTACGTCTGCTACATCTGCCGAGACCCTCCAGGTAAGTGCCTCCTGTGCCTACTGCAAGACGCCAAGACTTCTGTGTACGACCGAGGACTGCTGTGGGTATCACTTATACTGTAGGTGGCACTTGCTGGCTGGCTAGAATCAGCTTCCATCTTAGAGTTTCAAATATTTGTTACTGTTATTATTTCATTTTCATATTATGAAGGCAAGCATATTAGCATGAAAAGGCAAAGATGAGCTTGATCCTGGTCGGCTTTTGTTTTTTCCTGTGCACTGGTTTCTAGCTAGGTATATTTATAGTGATGTGAATGAAGCAGTATTCTATACTTAATTCCTCCTAACATCTTTTGAATATGAAGTTTTTGGTAACCCTTTACATCCAGTTCATTGTGGAGCAGATGAGGTCATTGCCTTTGGTCCCTTTATTTTACAGAGGAGCAGCTGGGGCACAGAAAGCTGCATTCCTTCTACAAACAAGTAGCACGGACATGACCAACTGAGACGAAACCTGTTTTTTGACACCTAGTCTTTTGTGCCTTCCCTCCATGCTAAGAGTTTCTTGAAGGAGCATATTGACTATATGCTTATTGACTATAATTTTACCTTCAAAGACACAAAATCATTAGGTATATTCAATTAAAAGGCCAGTGTTCCATGCCTACAGAAAGAGAAAATGTCACAGTAGGGAGTGGGAATTATTCAGACTTGGATGAATGTAAACATTTGCTCATTCATTCACCAGCATGTATTGTGGGCCTTTTGTTCATTATTATTCATTCAGTAACAAAGGTAGACCTTTGTCCTTCATTCAGTAGCATTTATTGGGTGCCATTTATTTGCCAAACCTTATAAGATGATTGTCGCAAACCTTGTCTTTACTTCATAGTGTAGTAGATGACACAGATCCATGAACATCTGACTATATAGGATCTAATTTCTATTAGTGTTCAAGTATTTTAAAGAGCAGATGACTGATACATGAACATCAAAAACAATGCAGTTAGGGTTCCCTTCACAGCTGTCATCTGTTACTGACTCCATCCTTAACAGAGCTTTTGAGTCTCCTTATTGGGCAGGAACATGACAGGTGTGGAGAACATTGTGCCTCACCTTGCAGGCCAAATCTCGCTTTGAGTCTGCTCTTGGTTTCAAAGCTTGCTGCTCACTGAGTGGGACAGCAATGAAAGGGAGATAGGACTTAGTGAAGCCCTTTGTGATTTTCATTTGTCTGTAGGTCAGAGGTGGAATGCAAAATATCGTTATGATAAGGATTGGTTGAATAATGGAAGAATGTGTGGGCTGTCATTTTTAAAAGAAAATTATTCTCATCTCAATGCCAAAAAAATAGTGTCCACACATCACCTGCTTGCTGATGTCTACGGCGTGACAGAAGTGCTACATGGTTTACAGCTAAAAATTGGAATCCTAAAGTAAGTAAAAGGGGGTGAAGAGAGTCTCCACTGTGGTGTACACCAAAGAAAATCTGAAAAAGGGAAGAAATACCATTTAACTATACAGTAGACCCTTGAGTTATGAACAGCCTAAGAAATAAATTCCCTGGGATATTAACTTAATGACCATAGTCTTGAGTTATGATCCACATTTTGGCGACTTGTGCTTCCAAATGGTCCCAGATACAGATTTAATCCTTGGAGAGTATTGGAAGAAACATGCCAATATCCCTTCCTGTTGAGCCTTCTGTTGACACTTGAATGAGAACCAGCCCTGGAGATTGAGTTGAGCTCCAAAGTCAAGGGTCCAGTGTAAGTGTATAAACAGAGAGTACCGATGGCCTTGAATATCTAGTGTAGCAGTAGAGAAGAAAAATTAGATGAGGCAGGAGGATCACTGCAAGTTTGAGGCCAGTCTGAGCAACATAGTGAACTCAAGGCCAGCCTGAACTGCACAGTGAGACCCTGTCTCAAAAAAAAAAAAAAAAAAAAAAAAAAAAAAAAGAAAAGAAAAAGAAAAAGAAAAATTAACGAGGAAAGAAAGGTTAGTTGTTAGATGACAGGAAGCTGCCAACCTATCCTTGAGTCCATGAGAGTGGTTAAAGATCAGTACAACATCTAGTATTTCAACCAGTTTTCATCCTAGTCCTTTTGTATTCTCACCATGTATACAAAATTAAATGTAGTTACTGTATAACCCCCCTATCTTATTTACCTTCAGAAATACTGGAGGGATGAGACAGGTTTCTAGGCAGACTGAATGTATTCTTTAATCACCTCAAGATTGGTGAGAGGAACGAGCAGATTCTAGAATTTACCTCTGCTGTGTATCAAATGTTTTAGTTCCCAATAGATTTCCCTTAAAGAAAAGCTTCAAGTTCCCTACACACTATTGCAGAATCTTCTTTAAGGTCTTATGTTCATTCCTTCCTAAAGCCTGCAAAGAGTTATTTAAAAGAACAAATAAAAACCTCATATTTAGATAAAAACTGGCTGATTCTCTGGTTCCTCACAAGATTTTTTTCATTTGAAGCTACTTGCCTTGGTCAAAAGCTTGCCCCTTTGCCGCCTTCCATCCTTTCTCCTAGATCTCTGCCATACTCTCCTCTGATTGCTGTGCATCATTTGCCTCACTGCTCTCTCCTCTCTGGTGGCTTCTCAGCCAGCTATTTAATTTCACGTCACAGTTGCTGTGCTTTCTGACCCCTTGTGGCTCTAGTCTTGTGTACTTCCATCCTCTGGGCTACTGGAAGCATGATGCTAGTGAAAGATAAAGAAGAGGTTGTCTCTTCCTATACCGGAGTGTGTGCTTCCTGTTGCCTGTGAGCACTCTTAGTTGTGCAGCATGCTGTCAGAGCCCTTCCCTGCTGATTAAGTTGTTGCCATGTCTTCTCAAACTTTCTGCCTATGCCAGACCACAGTCTCTGGATGCATCATGCTTTATTCCAAATCCAGTCTTTTTATTCACACGATGTGAGTAATTGCTTCCTACCACTTGCCTCCCTAGCAGATGCCTTTTAAGTATTTCCTGCTCAGCTAGAACTGACCACATTCTTCTTGGCAATTTAAAATTGAAAGAATTCAAATTTTGGACAAAATGTTAGTGCAAATTCACTTGAATACGTTTGCTTTTGTCTTGAGTCCAGACTTCCAACCCTATTTCTGAAATTTATTATGGTCTTCAACTTGTTACTAGATACTATTTTTCTGAACTGTTGTTTATCTAACTTACTTTTAAGAAATAAACACCACCCTGACCTTCATCTCTGGGCTTATTCTGGGAAGCGAAAAGACCAAGATCAAGTAATAGTTGGAGCAGAAAAAAAAATAAGTCAAGACACAGTTAATCTAGAAGAAAAAAGACATATACAGAACCATAAAGAACCTCTTCGTTTACCCCTAAAGATGGAAGGAACTTACATAACAAGTGAACACAGCTATCAAAAGCCACCAAATTTTGGTCAGGAATGTAGATCTTTTGCAGACCCTGGGAGCTCAGATGATGATGATTTGAGCAGTTTTGAGGAAGAACAAGATTTCCCTATGAGAGGAAAAAAACGTTTCCAATACTCAAAAGAACATGGAATTCCAGACAAGGTACAGCTTTGTCTTTACCTCTGTAATGTGACAAACAACATAGGAAAAGTGACAGATAAAGGCTACTGACTTCCCAGGTATTGTTGGTACTGCCAGGATTACAGATACCAAAAAATCAAATATGCTTTTGTTTCCTCTACAGGAAAACATTACCCACTTAAACTTTTACTTACCCCTTAACTCAGAATTGTTGTAACTGTTTCCCTGTTTACAAAAATAGTTTTCGTATCTGTTTGAAGGAAAGTTTCAGTTTTAAAAGTATCTAAGTAGGTACCTCCCCGCCACATTGTGTTCCAAATGAAGATGTATGTGAGAATATGGAAGTATGTATGGGCCTCATTTGCCTGCCTTTATTATGTATTTAGATAAGACAGGGCACTTGGTCTTTTTTTTTTTTTTTTTTTTAAGTTTGGCATGTTTGTAAATATATATTAATCCCACTATACAGTAAACTGAATTCTTAGCACTGTATGTACATGGAATCTCTCTTTTGTTCATTGGGATTATCTTTGAGATGTGAGATTATCTTCATTTTTTTATTATCAGTTAGCAAGATCGCTTTAAAGTTAGTTTTTTATGTTGTTGGCTTCCTTATCAAGTGATCTCTATAAATAAATACTTAACTGACTTTGCTAAGATTATATTTCTTAAAATCTGTGGTTAGCTATCCTTGTCAAAATAATACCCTTCCTGTGAAATGAATTATTTGTAGCAAATCTAAGTTCAAATTTTATGTGCATATATTAAGCATTTTGTACTCCTGAAGGTTTTGAAAGTTTTACTTTTCCCTCATCTCATGTCTGCAGCAGTGAAGTGCAGTCTGTAGCTAACTAGACTTTATGTTTGTCTGACAGTTTTCTTGATTTTCCCATCTTTGCTTTGCCCTCACTTCCCTTAGGTTGTCACTTGAAATTAATTGGCCCAAATTTTCTGATCATTCTGATTATGGAATTGAATTAGTGACTTAATTTATGTAGTACATTTATTGAAGTCCTCTCCCTAGCTGGACATGCTAGGCCTTGTAGGGAGACAGAGTGATCACATACACTGTTAAAGACTGGTAGAAGTAATCTGGCAGGTGCCCACACTTCCTAAAAGTCTTCCAAGAAGCAAATTAGATTGTAGTGGTAAGTGAGGGGATGAGGTTTTTAATGTAGCTTCCCCTTTTTGACTACATCTCATCAGTTCTCTATGTTTTGTTTTTCCAATGGTCCTTTGGAAAAGAATCCAGCTTATGGGAATAAGACATTTGTTCATACCGAGAAAAGGGGCACTGAAGATCCAGGAGACACACATCTTCAGTGGCAGCTCAATCTCCTCACCCACATTGAGAACGTGCAGAACGAAGTTGCCAGCAGGATGGATCTGATAGAAAAAGAAGTTGATGGTAACTTGACAAAGATCTGATGCACAGTCCTGAGTGTGTTCGTTGGTACTATGAGGATGCTGTGTACAGTGCTTAAACATTGGAGTGCAAGCTGCTAGTGCTTGCCGCACCAAAATGGCTTTGTAGCTCCATGTACACTGTCTGTATTGGGCACATGTAGGGTCTTAAGGACTTGAGCCAAAATGACTGGGTGTTATCTTCATATATTTTGGTGGTTCTGTGTATGTTTTAATTTTTTTTGGTAAGATACATAGATATTTATTAAACACTACCCATTTGCCTGGCTCAGTATACAATGCATATAGAATATTCATTAGTTTCATTGAACTCTTACATTCTTTAGAAGTATGTATGGAGTTTAAACATGTTTGAAATATGACAAGAAAAATATGAATATTCACTTTCATTAGTTTTTGTTAAGTGGCATTAACAAACTTGTGTGAGATTAAGTAGGTTGATCATAAGTTAGCATGCAGATTTTCAGGTAGTTTTTCTCTTACATTTTAATATTTTATTATCACACAGGAGGATCACTGAGTTTGAGCTACATAGACCATGTACCAAATAAATGATTTTTTGAAAAGTAGAAATAGTTTAAATCTAAGTAGTAGAAAGCTTGAGCAGGCATAGGAAACCATTGTTTACTGTTGAGCAGGCATAGGAAACAATTTTTTTTTTTTTTTTTTTTTTTTTTTTTTTGCGGAACCGGGGATTGAACTCAGGCCCTTGTGCTTGCCAGGAAAGCACTTATTCTACTGAGCCATCTCCTCAGCCCTCCATAAGAAACAATTGTTTACTGTTAACTATATGCACATGAAAGAAAAAATTGGGCTGAAGATGTAGCTCAGTGGTAGATTACTCACCTATTAGGCATGAAGACCTGGATTCCACCTCTGGCATCATTACAAAATGGGGGAAAAATCATTTGAAGTAAGAGATAAAAGTCATGGTGGGGAGGGTCTAGAACTCTTGTTGAGTGGAGAATAATAACCCTGAGTCAGAAATAGCTTGAATACATTAGCCTTTACAGATAAAGTTGTGAATTCTTGGCTCCATCACCAATCTTCTGATTATACTATTTTCTCACTGATTTTCCAGATGCCATTTAAATGTGTGTTGTTTTCTCTCTTTTAGTTCTGGAAAGCTGGCTTGATTTCACAGGGGAGTTGGAGCCACCAGATCCTCTTGCAAGACTGCCCCAACTTAAGAGGCATATAAAACAGCTCCTACTTGACATGGGCAAAGTACAACAAATAACTACTCTTTGCTCTGTATGACGACAGTGAACACTTAAGGAAAAGAATGTGGCTGTCTTCAGTAGAATCACTTTTATCTACATGATTGCTGAATAGATGGTTAAAAAGCTTAGTAATGTTTGTTAGTTGGTGCGATGTCACTAGGATGCCACCTTGGAAAGGAAATTGAAGAGCAATTTTATCAAGGAAGCTAATACTAAAATATGTGAGGAAGCTGCAAAGATAATGTTTTCTATGCCAAGGATCGATGAAGTAGAACATAATCTATACTAAAGAATTCAAATTGCCAGAATGTTTGAATAGTGGCTTCCCTGAAGTTCAAAACCTGTAGAAAGAAATACGGTGTATGTATGTAGTTTTTAGTAGAAGGATCTACATTTTTGAACCAGTATTTGCCCAAAAACAAAATTGTAAAGGAAATTTAAATTCTGGAAAGCTCTACAAGGTTGCTATAAGAACTGCCTTCTCAGCAGTTGGATCCAGCTGTGCGGAAGTTTAGGTTATTTAAACTTTTATAGGATCATGAGCTTTTTCTTGGGTGATGAATGTTCTTAATACTAGAAGTCTCACTTTTGGGGAAAACAATTGTGGAATTCTTCATTTTGAATATGTTTAGAAAACAGACACCAAATAATTGGAATTTATTGCAGGCATTAAACTCATTAAAAACAAATTGGCTTGCAGAAGGGTCCGATGTGCCAAATGTTGATGATAACTGCTGGAAAGAAGAAGTTAAATATTGTGGGATTTCTTCCACCCCACATCTGGCATAATGCATCAGTCCAAACAAAACTTGTATGTTGCATGTACTATTTATATCAGATACGTGATTGAATGGCAGTATTCAGGCTTTGGTTTGCCACTTGGTCCTGGATATGCTTGGTGTTGCCTTCAGGAAAAAATTGCAAGTAACCTCAGCTGGGATGAGGAGTGACAAAAGTATCAAAATAATTTGTGGCTGTGGATTTTTTTTAAACTGCTAGTAGTGAAATACTGGAAAAACTTCATTTCTGAAGATGAATTTTATTTTTAAAAAATAAATGTGTGCACTCAAAACTTTTAGCTTTGACCGCAAATGGACAGATTTCTAAAACCAAAGGCAACTAAGTTGCTGTCTTAGCTGTTGCTGGAGTTTGAGCCTAGGTCCTACTGTGTGCCAGTCCTCATGTGAGTTGTATGTGCTCCCAGTGCTCCATTGCAGGTATGCGTTCATGTGTGCTTGTTTAAACTCTCAACGTACATATGTACATAACTGACACATATTTATATCACACATATCTAGTTTTATTACTATAGACTATATGAATTGGTGGTTAACATGAAATGTTACCTTTTAATAGACTTTTTAAAAATTATAATGTATGTACAGGTTTTGAAATTTTTTTAAAAAGGGGAGAAAAGACTGTTAAGAGGAGGCTTTTTGATGACATATAACACTTGAATATTTTATGCCTCATTCTGTGTATCAGTTCTAGCAGTCTGTATAAATGCATTTTAGAACTGATAGACAGTAAACTTGAATTTATCTTTGATAAGAATACATGCCACTGTACATTCAGATATTATTTAAATTTGCAAACACACTGTTCTATATGTAAGGTACTATATGTAAAACTCTTTTATTAAAATTATTCCATATATCCTAAAATTTCAGCTTGCCTTTTTGTGGCCTTATATTTTCATGTAAAGATTGAAAGAATGTGCAAAACTGTCAGAAATTTTATTGCCTTTTGAGATTCTCCAAGTTGATATGTGCCAAAGATCAATAGATATAAAATATAGTTCTCTGTATTTACTTGTGATACATTGACTTTGTTAAAAGATCTTATTGATAAAGCTTTAGCAGAGGTCATATTGTGGGGTAGTTGCTTAAATTTGCATATTAAAGTAAAAACATAGTGCCTATTTTCTATGTGTGGAGTAAATTTGCTAATGTCTGTATTCTAAGATTGATGGTATACCTTTCATTTTTATTTAAAAGTGATGACTCTAACATTATCCCGGTTGTGGTTAAACTCTAGACACTGAATTTACCTCTTCTATTTTTCAGGGAAGCAGCAAGTAATAGCAGCTTTAATCTATGAATAGTGGTTTTGTCTAGATTCTTACCACATACACAGAAGACCTTTTACACCCATAATATTTGTCTTCTCGATTGCTGGTGACTCAGCTAAATTAATGGACATTTATAGTACAGATTGAGTAGCCTTAACCCAAAACTCTGAACTACTTCACAATGGGAAGCTTTTTAATGTTGAAAGATGCTACAAGTGGAAAATTCCACACCTAAACCCAGGTGGGCAGATCACAGTCAAAGTGCAGGTTTGCTAAAAATACTTTGTATACTGAGCTTCAGGCTATGTGTGCATGAAACATAAATGAGTTTCAAGGTCACATTTGGGTCTCATTCCTTAGGTGGGTCATTATCTAAATGCAAATATTCCAAACTGCCTCTAAGAAAATCCAAATGCCAAGGCATTTTAAGTCCTAAGCATTTCCAATAAAGGATATTAAACTTGTATCTTAAAATTAGATTACTTTCTTAGCAGCCTGCAAATTGAATTTTCCATCCATAATTACATGAAGTTTGACTCTGCTTACATGTATATGATTTGGAAATCTAATCTTTAAATATCAAATTATTTATATCCATATGCCCATTTAATATGGAATATACCAACAATTGGTTGAAGCCTTCTACTAAGTAGTGGACTGAGCCTTTCATTTTTTGAGAGAATAGATTAGTTTTTGAGAAGCACATTCATTATGAGTGGTGTATGATGAATTGTTTTTCTTTTTCATCCTTTTTAAAAATCGTTATAAGTATTTAAGTTTAGAAATAAATTAGAGAGTGTTTCTTCAAAAGGTAATATTTTATTTTCTATTCAGACAAAGTAGAATGAGCCTAGGTGGGAGGGAACCCTCTTAGTATAGCACTGATAACATAACTTGTACTTTCTTCTATTGTTTGTGATTTTTATGTTCATACTTTTAAAAGAAATGTATATACTTTCTCCTTAAAGGAACTAATCTTATAATTTGTGGTAAAACCACTTTTCCCAACACTCATTTTCACTGACTTGCATCCTCTCAAGTGTCCATATTTCACATGTTCCAAATGAAGCATACTGTTTCCTTTCAAATAAACTGAATCTCCTGCTCATTGTCTCTGGTGATAGTACTGTCTAAGAGTCCAGGCTTGAAGTGCGGAGTTATTCTTCATCTACATTGCTCCAGCAGTCCCCAGATGTGGCAATTTCTCCAAATGAATGGCATCCTTTTTTCTTCCTCAGTCTCACTAGGAACCCACCATTTTTCATTAATTAATTCCACTAAGGTATTACAACTGACCTTTGTCTTCATCCTAATTTCTCAAAATTGTCACTGCAAGCCTAGTGTATTAATGCCTGATGAGTGTGTGCTGTGTGCGTGGATTATACATGTTCTCTGCTTTATCTAATGATTTAAAGTGATAAAACTGATCATTTCTTTTAAATGAGGATGCTGAGATTTGGAAACATCTGAGATATGAAAGATGCAGATTCAGAATTCAAATCCTGCACCACTCAAGTTGGGCCTTTTTCTAGCATGTGAACTTTGGCTGTACTTAGCATTTTTGTTTTCTTCTGTAAACCTATTAGTCTGCAAGCCATATCTGGTCTATGCAGTCTGTCTTTTGCGATTTCCTTAGTTGTCAAATTCATGTAAATAAGAGTGTACCTTTAAGACTGCCTATTTCCTACTCTTAGCTTCATATTATTTCTCTCTTCTGCAGAATTCTCCCGGGCTTGTATCTATCTCTGTAAACCCAATCAGATTCTAGTTTTCTTCCTATGAGAGGCAATTATTATTGAAGCCTTATGGTATCTGGCACGCTGGAGAGGAACTATATCAGTGAAGAATAATTTGATACAGTGGAACAGGCTTGAACTTTACAATCTTGTCCTCTAATTTTCCTTTTAGTATTTACTGACATTGGGATCTCTGTGCTTTGCTTTGCTTTCCTTATCTATAAAAGAGAAATAATACCTACTTTGGAACCTTGTTTAGAGAGTTAAAATGAATAAACTACCTAAATGCTCCTATGTATTAAATAGATTGGGAATTTAGTGGACATACTGAGTATCGTCCTGTTTGCTAGCTGTACTTGAAGTTGGATTGAGAGTGGATATAGAATTAATGTTAAGATCATAATCTATAGGCTAAGAGAAACATAAACTTTCTCTAGTGAAAGTAAAAGAGGCCAAAAAAGGAAGTTAATTAACTTCTCCATTGTATATGGAGGAGATTCAGGAAATAGAGATGTATATTTAAAAAGTAATCTCTGAATGTGACTGTCACCTCTCTAAAAGGATTTGAGACAGTTGCTACCCATTCCTCATGACTGTTACCTTTGAGTACCCCTGAAAGTAGAGCTAGAGACAAGACTTAAGTGAACTTACTTTCTTAGGAAGCAAATCCAAGAAAGCTGAGCAATGGGACAGTACTGAGGAGGAAAGGAAAAATAGAATAAAAATTACTTGACACAGTTACAGGCAGTGGGCCTCAATCTTCATTTGGAGTTCACAAATTTAAATAGTTGCAAAGGGTATGGCTTCCCATTTTCAAATATTTATATATTAAATGCAGTGAATTCTACCATTTAAAACTACACAATAGAGCCAAGATGTGGTTTGGCTACTTACAAATAACTATCTAAAAATACCTAGGCAGTCTTCTAATCTCAATAAATTTTATTAGTATATGTTTAAATATGCAAAATATTCATCATAGGGTATTGGTACATGTATTGCAACTTTATCCTATCTACTTGTTGTCCTCTCTCCCCTCCCATGACCCTTCCCATCTGCACAAGGTTTGCCTGTTTTGTGTCGTCTTTGTCTTATTTTGCTCTTTAAATATAGTTTGCCATATAAACCTAATTCATTTTACTTAGCATATGAACATAAGAGCCATACAAATGAATTCTATAATTTAAATTCTATCATATTCCTA